AGGAAAATGACTTCAACTCCACATGATATGCATTCGCAAATCAACACCACCCTATCCATCGAAAGCTACTGGTCCACCGAGCCATACGGGGCTCCCTATTTTGAGACGCACCCCCCCCGATGCACAGTAAATCCAGTTGGCGGCTCCTTTCAGGAGTGAGGGCACAGGTGCTGATGATGAGACCACTCATCTTTTGCAGGCAGCACTCAGTCCAATGAAATTCCGGCAGAGCTTCTAGAAACCTGGTTGCAAGGGGTGGGGCAGAAAGAGCTTTGGGATAATGATGGAAGGGTAGGACCCTGGACGCTGGTAAGGAGTAAAGACCCTAAGGATCAACAAAAACTACTGCTTCCCTAACCAAGGGGAAGAAAAGTTCTGTCATAAATGAAAGTTGAACTTGCCTATCAGGCCTATCAGCGAAGGCTCTGAGTGGCCGTAGTCTTGACTACAGAATAGGCACTTGGAACCACCGCCAAGACAAACAGCGCTGCCCGGAATGGTCGCCAAACACACATACACACACCACGTGCATCCAAAGGGCTTCAGCATTCCTTTGACCTGGGCCAAGCGCCTTGGCAGCCCCACAACCTCCACGATGGAAGCACTCGCCTCCCGCGCCAACGCAGCTAGGAGCCGTAAAAGCCATTCTGACAGCCGTGGCTGGAGTTGTCCAGCATTCCACTCCGAGGCCTAGTGCTTCAGGGGCTTCACTCGATTCTGAGGCCAATGGTCCAAAGCTGCTTGCCCGGATTGACCCAGGTGTAGAGGTCATCCAAATAAGTGTATGATAGAATTACAGTATAAAAAATGCAGAAGTCACCTACAAGGATTCCAATCATATCCCCTCATTGCCTCATGAATGAAAGAGCGGTCCTGCAGGAAGTCGGAAGCCGTGGACGCGGTCTCTTCGGCCAAGCCAGCAAAAACCACCTCAAAGCAGGCATCCAAGGCTTCACCGGTGAGACTGTGGCCTCAAGAGGAAGGGTTGATGGCCCAGTTGCTTGAACCGTCCGTCATACGGTACAGCAATACACCTGAAAAAGTTGCCAGAAAAGTCGCACCAAGTTGCTACATCTCCCCAAGCCCTTCATGGCCAAGTCGAGGAAGGCTTCCCTCACTGACGCCTTCTCCGCCCACAGCTGCTCCGGCGCCCCCAGCACCGCGCATAGCACTTCTGAGCTCCGGGCGCCCGTCTCGGAGAGCATGGCGCTCCGTGAAGTCGAACCGGGTTCCTGGTGGAAACAGAGAGAAGTCAGGAGAAGCCTGTTTGGAGGCATGGCACTGTTCATCCTCATGAATCCTCATGCGCAAATTACTTTTTTGGAGGTTTGCTCTTCTGATTTTTCGGGCTGCTTTCTTACCACTGTTGCAAAAGCTGATCCATTCATTTGCTTCAACCCCTTCCCACATCGTCCTCCACTGAACGCCCATTCTGCAGTGCAAACAGTGCCGCCAACGCTGCCCGCGGCTCACACGAATCTTGCGGCCACTGCCCAGGTTCTGCACCAAGGACAACTGTGATCCAGCTGGTGAGGCAGCTGCAGCTGGCAACGACCAGTTTGGAGCCTAACTTGGCATCACCTGCAGGCACATCAAGCACATGTGCGTAGCGAAAAACATGGGTGACACCTAGCCAACCGCTCAGGCGGACATGCCATTCATGGTCATTCCTTGCAGTTGAAAAGGACGGCTTTCCAGGATTGTTGACCACCCACTGACCGCAGAGCGCACGGTTTGCCGCACCTGATTTCAGCAAGATCTTGGCCAAAGCAGTGCATACTCCAGGGTAGAAGGTAGCCAAAGTCTCCACTGACCGCTCGACTTCCGCCAAGGTCTGCAAAATCTTCAGACTGAGAACTTGCTCCTGTCAGATCTCGTGATGGCCATTGGCCGCCAAGTGTTGGATCAGACTAGAGACAATGGCTGGATCTGTGAGTTCTTGATCTTACTCGCCCACTCCACCCGCCTCAGTGAAGCACAGCCAGACTACCACTCCCGGCAGGGTTCAATCAATAAAGAGCTATATATCAGCTATGATGAGCTATGTACGTCATCAAATTGCCTGGGGATATCCAATGTATATATTATATCCGACCCATCCAAGCAATCCAACCCAAACCTTCCAATTTGATCTGTCCATCTCAACCCAAAAGCTCAGTCCAATTTGCGCTCCTGGCGGGAGACCTCACTGGTGGCCCTTTGAACTGCCAAGTGGGCCAAAAAGCCAACCTGCATCTTCGCGAGCTTGGTGGCATGGTCCGCATGGATGTACCACTTTCGCAAGAGCACCTTCAAACACACGTGGCCAACAAAAATGGGCTACAAAGGGGCCCTCTCAGAACAACAAGCCCTTTCTAAGAACGTACCAATTCATGGCAAACCCACACAATCACAAAAATTCCTTGTCCCAGCCCCAGCCTCACCTCGACAGCATCCAAGGCTCGCAGGCTGGCACCCTCCGTGAGCCCACTGGACGCCTCGGCCCAGATCACTTCCAACAACCCACTCATCCGCTCCAGCAATAGCGGCGCCAGGCGGGGCGCGACACTCGCAGCCCGTGGCTCGGTGTGCTCAATTGGCGCTTCCAAGAGTAACTTCAACAGGAGGAGCACATCCTGAGAGAGTCATCAATCATCTCATATCATCTCTACTGTCTTCACAAGCCAGAGCAAACCCCTTCTTGAGATGTTGCATGTGAGGAGTCTGGGTCAGGACGGGTCAGAATGAATCACATGGAAGCAAGATTATTGGACTCGAGGCCCTAGGCCCGCTCCTCCAAGAGCGGCCATGCAGGAGGGCGTTCAGCCAAGCGAAAGAGAAGCGGAGCCAGGACATGCTCAAAGTTGCCACCCAAAGCCTCCCACTCGAAGGGAATCAATGTATATATATATATATATATGGTTGGTTATATACTATAATTGTGTTGCCCTTGTGAAGGACTTCTACTCTCTAAACTGCCAAAAACTTCTCTGGATGGTCTGGGCTTGGTCGTGCAATGTGTTCACTTCACTCTTTTGTCCACCTTTGTCCTCTTGCAGCGCCTCTGTTTGCAGCAGCGCCTGACACGCCACCTTTGCAACCCCACTGTCAGGGTCACAAAGCTGCACGCACAGTTGAGAGATAGCCATGGATGCGGCTGGCCCATGGCGGCAAAGAGCGACCAGCGGTGTGCAATCCGTTGTCCAAACGCTTCCGGGCACGAGCGCCCATGGTGCCACATGCCTTTTTTGCATTTTGATTGGAATAGGGCTAGTTAGGGCGGTATGAATCCTGTTGTTGAAGGAAGGCAAGGACAATACCAGAATGCAGAAATCGTAACAAAGCCATCGATCAAGTCAAGGACCAAATGATAAGGATGGTAAGCGTCAGGTGCTTGTGTGCGGGTCTGATTACGCAATACCATCACCACTGGGGAGGTGACCTGAGAACCTCTCCGTGTAAGGTTTTTCCTACCCGCAGCTCGCACATTGTCTCCGTAAAAGCTGCTTCTCTTGCACCAGTGGGGCCGACATGTCTTGTCTGTGTGTGTGTGTGTCGTGCCCACTGCGCTCCATGAAATGGCTTTCAGCCTGCGCCCACTCTGCGACTCTTCCTGCCCAGGCTGCTGGTGTAGGGGTGGGGTGTTCAAGGGTTTCACAACTTCATACCTATAATACACAATACATGCCTTTATCATTCTTTATCCATGTTCACCCCCTCCATGAACCTGTGCTCTTCACATCCACAACGTTGCTAGTGCCGTTTGCAACGCCCCGGGGGTGAGTCCCAAAGACTCAGCTCCGCACCGGCTTGGCTCCTCCGCCGCCAGCAGCTGCCAAACGGCCACAAAGCCCAAGCCTGGAAGGATAGAGATCAACGACCGAGCGGATTCGTGACATGTGTTTCACAACTATTTTTTTAGATACTGAAGACTCTTCACATGTGTGTCTTCACATGTGTCTTCACATGTTCATGACTTGGATGCCTGGTAGGGGTAGGGATAGCGGGAGGGCTCTTCTGCAAAAGAACCTTCTCTCGCATCTCTCCATAACCACACGGCGATGATGTGCCCAAGGCCACGACTCAAGACTCCCACGATCTGATACCTCAGGCAATGAAGAAGTACCGTGCAGCTTCAAAAGCCACGAACTTCTAGGCCCTTGAATGTGGACATCCACGAAGTGGACACCTTGCCATTTGGGCCCACATCTTTTTTGTTGAATGTTTGACATTGAAAAAGAACCCCATCGGCCCATCACTATTTATTTATTGTGAGAACGGATCATTGGCCCGAAGATAAGCACATTCCCGACCTGTTTTTGACCAACACATGAACGAGGTCATGGTCATTCATGCTTCACAGGCTTATGGCTCGTCAATCGGCTTTTGCAGCGGCCCTGCAACAGGCAAAAAGAACAGGTCAAGACCTTTGTTCCATCTGCACAAGGCACTGCTCTGCGGGATTCTCTTCTTGTTTGTTTTCACCCAATCACCTTCAACACTTTGATGGATGGTGATAGATGCATAACTCTGACAATACATGATCATTTGCAGAATTGGTTTGGCTATGTTTGGTTAGAACAAATGTGCTCATCGCCAGTGTGTCAATGCTCAGGTCAGCGATCATATTTCTTATTTTTGAATGTCATAACCCCTGTTGGTAAGATTGAGATAGTAGGCGTTTTTTCCCTGGGGGCGCAAGGGAACGGGGTGTCAGCTAACTCTGGATGGGTCTGGAAATCAGGCGCGGATCTGGCTGTCACATGGGATGTTTGAGTATGTTGCTCCATTTTTTTGGTTCAGGGGTCATCTTTACCACCAAACTTGCCGGTGCAAAGTTCAAGTTCTCCCAACTGCAATGACCCCGGAAGTAGAGAGGGTCTACCTGGCCTTCTTTGTCTACCGCCTTTGGACGCTGCACAGAGTTGCCGAGAATCCAACGTCAGCCTCCAGCCCAGCACCCCAGCCAAGCTGTTGACCTCGTCTGAGTCAGGCATTTTTGGTTTCAACCGCAGCCTACGACCTTAAATATATAGATATGTGATATGTGACTACGACCTTAAATATATAGATATGTGATATGTGACTACGACCTTAAATATATAGATATGTGATATGTGATATGCGTATTTATTACCATCTATAAATATACACAAAAATATAAACACACCACATGGACATGCATGTGAACAGACTAGTGACTAGTGACAACAACCCAATCAAAAATGTGAGATACGTATTGCTGCCCACGTCAATTAGTCTCTTGGGCCTGGAGTTTTGTTTGGGGGGGGCTTCTGCTGCCGCCAGCAGGAGCTTGGCCGAGGATCACCCTTCGATTCATCCTAAATTGAGACAACCTATATGCTAGCAGCAAAATCGCTTTTTATACGTGCCGGCCCCTCACACACCCACTGACTGAGATGCCAACCATGGGTATGACCAGGAGAGTGCCTGGCAAAGGTATGCAGCGAAGAAAGGACGAAACGAAAGCCAAACGAGGCATTCCAACCCAAACAGGCACACCCACGGTCCAACATGAAGGACATCTTGAACCCGTTTATAGCAATCCTAAACAGGGCACGGCTGCGTCAGAAAGCCTGCATATATATACGTGTGTGTGTGTGTGTGGTTATTTATGTGCTTCACCATTGGCAGTGACAGGTCTGTCATGCGAGTTAACTTGATGGATCTTGATGGATAAGTCACACCCAAGATAGGCAACAAGTAGGGGCAAACTTCCTGATAGCCACAGCGACTGCATTTTTCAAGCTATCAGGCTTGGCGCTGTGAGGCGGGAAGGCCGGCCTTTGGGCCCTGGATGCTCAAAATCTGAGCATTGCCGAACTTGCCACATTGGGCTTGAAGGGCTTCATAAACCTGGCTACTGCCTCCCAGAGATACACTGATCTCACAGATGTGACCATCTGTAAGACTTCCATTAAAGAGAGTGGGCTTGGAGTTGTGCCATCCACTCTGAAAGTAGTGTATGCGCTATGCGAATGTGGTGCCTCCCAGGCCTTTGCGCATTGACACCTTGACGCAGAACAGTTTTTGGCGAAAGAATTCGTGCAACATCATTGCCTTCAGAATTTGGAGTTACCATCGGCGGGGACACAACAACGGTTCACAAGGGATGAGGTGGACGCTGGAATGCACACCACACTCCAGGAGACTACACATGCAGTGGTGAAACCCTTGGCTCGAGCAGCCCAAGGTCGAAACGGTTATTGGACACTCATGACAACACTGGAGCCCGCACACTCGTAGAGAATCCAGGCCAATTATATAGTCAGAAACCTATTTGGGGATGAGGATCAACATGTTGTCAACTTAGGCCGGTCGTCAGGTCAAAATCAAGATTCCCACAACAAGGGCTCTCCCTTGGCGTGGCCTAATGACTCAGTGGCCTTTGGCCTATTCAAGCAGATCAGGGTCCACTTCCAACCTCAGGATGACAGGGCTGGGGCCTGGGGACCTACCAACAGCATTCATTGAGCTCATGAGTGTTCTTGATTGATACCATTCTTCTGTGTGGATGGAATGCGTGCCCGGGAGTTTGCCAATTTCCTAGTTCATTGCCTTCGCACGGAGGGGTTCTGGGTTGCGTGGCAACAAGAATCCAAATCACTCAACGAAATATCCACCGTGCCCAGCCACTGTTTCTTCAGCTCTGCAAAGCTCTTCGAGGCCATCCTTAAGTTTGCATGGCTTCACTCCACCAACGAAACTTGCCTCAATTCCTTGTCCCGAAAATTTCAGCTTGGCACAGGTTCAACGGAAGGCACACAAAATCACACAAAACCTAAAGTCATTAAGGAAAAAACACCCGAAAACGCATTGCCTGAATTTCTGAGGCAGGCCTCCCGCTCTGCCCGTCCACTTCATAGCGCTCCTCCTGCCTTCGCCGCTCGCGCTCCTCGCGCAACCACTGCGCGCGGTAGGCGTCCGAGGGTGGCGGCGCTGCCGGGAGCACGGCCTCCAGAGAACCACCCGAGACGCGAGAACCACCCAACTCTAGTAGGAACAAGCGCATCGCTACTAGTAACAAGTGCCTTACTAGTAGTAACAAGAAGCTACTAGGAACAAGTGCCT